TGACTTTGGTGGTTAGTCTTATTGGCAATCATACCAAATCTCTTTATTTTTATATATTGCTAAATGAGACTCATGTACATCAATTAGACAGCACGGTCTTTCCTCATGAGTACATGAAACCAATCACAGAAGTAGATATTAAAAATTATGGTTTTGTTCGTTTTTCGTTTTCCTACACTGATATTTTGGTGTTTGACTTTTCATATTTGTTTCTATGTGTCGTTCCTTTGAAGTTTTTTAATTAACCCCCCCCCCCCCCCAAAAAAAAAATGCGTGATTTCAAAATGATATATAATTTGTACATTTGCATAACTTACAGTTACGTTAAACTGTGAAGTCAGTCTTGATTCGATTTTTAATTCCATCCTATACAATTCAAATGTGTTAAAAAAATAGAAAAAATAAAGATTAAATGAGAATAAAAGTTAAAATCTAAAAACCTTAAGATAAATGTTTAGATGTCCAAACCGTTTTATTGCTGTGGGTCATCGGAGTATTCTTAATTTTGGATATCCACATGATACAAAAGATTCGGCTAACGTGGGACATTTACAGGTAATCTCTTCAAAATTGGTTAGACTAACCCGAGGTTAAGACATCAGTTATATTTTTACATCTATTGTAAAAATGTAACTACCGAGCGGAATAGTAGAAAAGGCTGCAAAGTGAACTAAGAGTTCTAAGTAAAATAATTTATTATGCAGGAATAATAATTTCAATACGTTCAAAGTCAACTAATTCACACAATTTAAATCAAGTCAAAGAACCTGCATAATGTCAGTGTTTAGACAAAAAATAAGTTTCAATAAATATAATTTATGTTTCAATAACAATAGAACAATTCCAAATTTAGGCCAGGGTTGGGCTAAAAATGTTTCACGGCAAAAACACCACCGTCAAGTAAAATGTGTAACGGAATTCACCGTCTTTTTACACTTATATTACTGGAAGATGTGTAAATAAATGCACAAACAGCTTAACTTTAACTTCTTACTAAATTCACATAGCCAAACGTGAAATGAATAGGTCAGGAGAACGAAAAGCAGCCGTTCTCTGGGGCAGTTAAATTTCAACTTACAAAGTTGTTTACGTTGAAACCAAAATGTCATTCCCACGGGCCATTTCTCGTAATTACCTACATTTCGCGGATCTCGTATACTCGTTCATTACACTGACAAATATGCATGACCATAAATTATATACAATAACTAGTTTTATTCCATAATAACAATATTTCAATAAGCACACCCTGAATAAAATCCCGTAGTTTAGAAATAACTTCTTTGATGTGATAAGAACGACAACTCTTGCACAAAACATGGAGCTACGGTTTGGCGGAAATGTGTCAACACAGTTATTTCTACTGAAAACGTTGATTAATAAATGGACCGAGGCTAAAATGTGATTTCTCAGGTCCGTCATACCATTACACAAATTGGGCAAACTCAAATAATACGAAAGGAATGATATTTCATTAGAAATTATCATTATAGATCAAGATTTGTCCAAATACCATTTCAGTTTCACAACACAAAAACAATATTAGGGAAATGACATTTACATTTACATGTATTAACAAATTTTGTTACTGAATTTGTCATTTTTTTCCCAAATCTGTGCAGCTCAGAAAAACAACAACCTCCCGTTTTCAGCTTCTGTCCGTTTAAATTGCTGGCTTGTGTTTAATGCATCGCATTCAGTATTGATTTTCTTGCTTGTTCAAGATTTTGTTTTTTATGCTTTCATGTTCAGATATTTTGTTATGAACTGCCAAATGGGTCAAGTTTGTTCATGTACCTCAAGTTACTTTCTCATCCCAAGATTATCAAGGACGAAGTGGTTAATTGGTAGGAATGTTTTCTCAATAAAGACAATGCTGCCCCTTTTTTCTTTCTTTATAACAACATTTATTCCTTTTTTATACGCCCATCAAATTTTGACAGGACGTATTATGGTATACAATTGTCAGTCGTAATCATGTCGCACCGTATCTTGATAATGCCTTGCTTGATAAACTTCAAAATTTACACAGTTGTTTATTATGATAGCCTTAAGGTCTGTATAATGTTTGGTGAAATTTAGATTTTTCCGTCCAGAGTTAAACTAGTTTAACCCCGCCACATTCTGTTTGTGACTGTCCCACGCCAGGAGCCTGTAATTCAGTGGTTGTCGTTTGTTGCTATATATCATATTTGTATTTTTGTTCATTATTTGTACATAAATCAGGTCGTTAGTTTTCTCGTTTGAATTGTTTTACCTTTGTCATTTCGGGGCCTTTTATAGCTGACTATGCAGAAATGGTTTTGCTCATTGTTGAAGGCCGTACGGTAACCTATAGTTGTTAATTTCAATTCAATTGGTCTCTTGGGCAGAGTTGTCTCATTGGCAATCATACCACATCTTCTTATTTTTATATTATGGATTTTTTTCAAACAAAAAATTGCGCCTTATTTATATTCCTTGGTCAGCATAACTGTAATATCAATGCGTCTTTATAGTATAAAGATGTGCAATTATGATATAGTAAACTGTCAGAATAGAATAGTGAGGTGATAAGATAGTATGAAAAGGTGGCTCCATATTATATCAAGATGTCATCGTAGTATACGACTTTATCGTCGTAAGATAGTAATATGAAAGAATAGTATGAAAAAATTGCTCCATGATATATCGAGATGATTGTATAGTACAAAACTTTATCGTAATAAAATAGTAACATGACACAAATTATATAGCGAGGTGACAAAATAGTATGAAAAAGTTGCTCAATGTGATATTAAGATGTCTTTATAGTATAAAATGTATCTTTATGATATAGCAATATCACAGTATAGTATAGTAAAATGACAAATCAGTATGAAAAGGTAGCTCCATGTTATATCAAGATGTCTTCATAGTATAAAAGAATATCTTCAAGACAAAGTGAAATGACAGAATAGTATGAAAAGGTAACTCCATATTATATCAAAACGTCTTTATAGTATATAAATTTATCTTAGTGAATTGACATAGTAGTATAGTCAAATGCCGTTATAGTATAAAATTGGCTTCATGTTATATCTTAACCCTTAATGATATGATTATCTTTATCATAAGGCAGCTGGGGCGTTCCATTACTTGAAGTTCCGTCTGTTATATTATAAACAAAAAGAAACGTTTAAAAATGAAGCACGTGTAGTCAAATTGCTTTTGTAAATTCTAAAATCTAACATCCGTTTCCAGAAAAAACTGTTTGAATCAATAACATTCTTCTAAGGTCGCCCGGACTAAAGGGCAAGATTTTGCTTTTCCCATCACTTGGCGTACGTCGCCTTCGTTGTTGTCACCCATTAACCTTTACAAAAATCTTTTCTCAAACTACTGGACCAAACTTAACTACAATCATCATTGGGATGTTAAGTGTAAAACCGCTTTAGAAGGAAATAATTAAACAGGGCAAACATGTTCAGTATGTTGAAATCTAGCTACTGTCCATTTACAACAAAATTTTCAGGCGACTTCTCAAAGGAGTTATTGTCTCTTTTTGTCCAATTCTATATGGATATCCTCAATAAAAAAAAATGCATTTATGTTGAAATTTCTATTTTATGATTAAGTTAAAAGTTCTGATTCAATCAATACAATTATTATTCAAGTTGACCATTATTGTCTTATTAGTTTATTGTTAAGTTTGATTTTTATGTTATGAATAGTTACATTTTAACTAATGTGCTTTTCAAAGGGCAAATTGATATGTTACAAAGATTATCTATATAGATCTGTATTTCCTTTAAATGACATATTTTACCATTTTTTTTTTCATTTTTTTCTTTTAACTTGAAAACTATTATAGACAGACAGAAACTTTAAATAGAAAAAAAAGATAAACATGACAATAACTACAAACAAGTCATATGCATATGGCAAAAATCGTAGTCGACTCCTTATTGGAATTATCGCCCTTAACTGACGATTGTTACACATTTTTTGCATTTTTGCCTATCATCTTCAAAACTATAGTAGATATATAAAAACTATTAAAACAAATACTATTCCACCAAGCAAGATCTGCAAATAAGTCAAATATTGCCAAAATCATTAGTTGACGCCTTATAGGAGTTAGTTTCCTTCAGCATTTTTTTTTTAACATTTTTTAACATATTTTTGTGTGTTTGCCTTTTTACTTCAAAACTATCATAGAAAGTTTAAAAAGCAAAATAATGAGTAAGACCAAATCTGCAATCAGGTCAGCAAAGATGAAATAGTCAGTTGTCTTCGTATAGTAGTTATTGCACTTTTTTGTGTTTTGGGCAAACACTATAGAAGATAGATAGAAACTATAAACATACAATGATCAGCAATACAAGATCACAACAAAAAACGAGTTTTCGTCATAAATAATATTCTTGTCTACAATGTTTGAGAACATCCATTGTTGAAGATGCACATATACCTAGGTGAGCAACACAGTCTCTTTAATGCCTCTAGTTTAAATAATTATCGGAATCTTTAACTATGAAAAGTCGGATTTAATTTTACTGAACAGTAGGTATAAACGGGCACATGTAACCTTATTTTTTATGGGCATACTTTGACTATCTCTTTCATACAAAATCCGATTTACAGTCGATCACAATTTGAATTTGATATAAGGGATTTTATAAAGCCACATTTTTTTTTAATTCGTAAAACAGTATTTAAAAACTGAGCATGCCTTATGAAGGTTACCCCAGAACCATCGGTTTTGTGCACTTAATGTTTATCTTCTTTCCTGAATGGTGTTGCATGTGAGACTGACTGACTGACTTTCAACTGTGATACAATTAACTCATCATTGATGCTGGAATTAAAAAAGTTAAAAAGACAAATAAAGTGCGAAGTCGAAGAAGACCTTTGAGAACTCAAATTTCCGAAAGGTTTTGACAAATACAGCTTAATTTAATAACTATATCAAATACCGGAACTGTAAAGGTACGAAACAACATATGCATATAGTGGTAAACAAAATAATACTGATGATATAAGTTCAACTGAATTTCTTTATTTGAAAGCTCAGTAAATGATATATTATAATTGAACAAAAAGTAAAACAAGACTATAAAAAGGAAATCTGTGATGTTGAAGAAAATTTACAGTACAATTAATGAGATAAAAATTATAATCACAAGAAAATCGTTTTATATGACTTTAAGAGTAATAGTAACATTACAAGTTATATTAACCGTTCAACTTGTAAGTGTAAGTCGTAACTGATTGATTTTAAAGAACAAGCCAATTTCTTCAATCGGAAATGGAACGGACATATACTGAAATCCCTATCAGATTAAACTGAAATTTTAAGAAATAAATTAAATTTTAAAGAAGCCAATGTTTTGTATATACTCTGAATTACGAACACGGGGAGGTATATACAAGCCTTCTCGTGACGTTCATCTAATATATCTTGAGAGCAATAAAAACACGTCTGGTGCCATTGTACTTCAATTCAGAAAGAGACAGATTAAAGCATAACAAAATTACATTATTTAATAAAGGGACATAACTCTCACGATTACACTGCAAAAACACACACGACAATAGAATGTACATGTATAATATATAACATCTGTTATTACCGTCCTGATAATGCATGAAATATTTCTCACTGGACGTTAAGCAACCAACAACAAAATATAAGATCTGTTATTTAGAATGGAAATAAATAAACAGAGCGTTTAAAGACATAACAAGAAAAGTTCCATTATCAAATATAACAATGTTAAGAAAATAGTCATGACATATACTTTCTTTAAATGCAGTGTCAATAACAATAATGACATCTTTATTCTCATAAACATTGCAGACACAAAGGTACAGAGAGGTTGCTAAATATGTACAAGAATATGCATATATTTACAAACATTTATATACAATACAGTGGTTCCAAAACAATATACATTTTAATAGCCAGAGGGACCAACGTGTTGGTTTACACACATTATCAACTTACATAATTTTTAAGCTACGGCTAGTGTCAAACCGTATCTTGCATTTAAAAAAAATGTTATTGAAAGTCTTTTATTAAGAAATTTCAAAATTCGCTCACGATGCCTTTCTTTTAAAAAATTGCTTTAAAATTGATTGTTAACATGTTTGTTAATAGTGAAATAATGACATACGTACAAATAGTATTTTCTCTCATAATATATCATAAACAAGTAAAATAAGCTAGTTTTAACGCTGTCAAATTGTTTGAAACATTTCTTTGTAAAAAGTAGCAAAATCTTTTTTTTTTACATAAAACTCTGTTTATGTTTAAACTGCTGTATTTTTGTCATCTGCTGGGATATTATGACAACCGAGGTACTAAAGGAAAGCAGAATCAATGAGCTACACCCTATTAATCACATTGAAAAAACATTAAATGTTTCATATTTGTAGATCATTTGAATAACTTCCTATTTTTTTAATTTACACTTTCAGTTTCGACTATCTTTCCTTTTGATAAGATACTTCTTTTGTCTATATATCAATTAAAATGACAAAGTTAAAGCAGCTTTTAAAGAACGACCACTCAAAATGTTCCTTGTGTTTCATATATGATTGCATATAGTTTATATAATTTCATGTATCGAAATGCTCTATTCATTATTTTTTATTAGATAATCAATTTTTATATGCGGCCTGTTTAAAAGTTTTAGACAGATTTTTGTTCGTGTCATGATAGAACCACAGAAAATGCCTTACCGTTGTCTAAAATTGTATTTTGATAACAAACATAATAAGGAAACCTGTAAAACAAGTAAAATTAAATTAAAATTGCAAAAGAAATGTTTTCGGAAACTTATTTACCAAAAACACTGATGCAGAAAATATAGATATGTTTTTAATAATGTTATGTGATATTTTGTTCTCTGACATCATTGTCATATCTAATCATTGTGTGCCGTTTAGTATCTGAGAACCGGAATAACAGGTAAAATTTCCATTGCCAAATTTACCGGAGCAACAAATGCAGGCCAATGTTGACTACAATATAATTAGAATATCTAAATCGTCCCCTAAATTTTATCCTAACATCATGTTATATGAGTGTAGGTCACTTAGTAGCAGAGAACTTGAATCGATATAAACTTGATCAAAATCAATTAAGCATATAATTGACGTATTGGGGAAATTTTAGTCACTGACGCATCAAATATATGTAATCATTGGAGCCTATTTTCTCTGCTAAATGTATAAAGCTCGTTGATTTTAGGTTCATTGGTAACTAAGAAATAAACTAAAACTTGACCAATGTTTAGAAGCACAAAATGTAGGCAAGGTTCACCTAATGTAGATTGTAACTTTTTACCAGATGCATCATATCAGTATCAGTTCATATGATTGTAAGCATTAGTATATGAGAACTGGGACTCAACATAAAAAAAAACTTGTTCAAAGTCACAGAAAAAATATTGTAGGCATTTCACTTAATGTTGGTAAAAGTCTCATTCATCATGTTCATTTTTGCAGCAAGTTGTGTGATTGTAAGTCGATTCCACTATTTAAAATGATTTTAAAGGTAGAAAATAAATGCCATGAACCGTGAAATATGGGTTGTGCCCTATATAATATGTCATATGTTATGTCACCTGGTCAATTTAACAAACCATATGGATGTATGTCCATCATTATCTAAGTCACTCGCGTATTTGCATTTCAAAAGTCATCACAAACTTCGGTCATACCAATTTATTATGTCATACCACCAATTCAAAACCCTTATGTAATCAATCAATTTTTTCAATTGTCACAGCCTACCTTAAGTTAAACCCAGGTATATCCTGAGTTGTACTTGTATCACCTTTCTATACTCCATTTTTTAACCAATATTTTACGTCTTGTAGTGAAACACGATTGTTCGAAAGTCAACTACTACTAAAAAAAACCCTGGTTTTCTGGAAATCTTAAAAGAGTATACTTTAGAGCGCATAAATCCTCAATTTTAAATCCAAAATCATGGACAAATAAAATATGGCTAAAATGGTATAAATATATTTTCTAACACTAAAAGTTTTATTTCTGCAAATTTGTTTAGTTTAAGTAAACAATAACATTAAAACCACGATTATTGTCAGAGTAGTTTTACTTTTTATGTTCTAAATAGGAGTGGGAAAATTGGTGGTCTGACACTTTTATTTAAACCAGTAGACTCATTAATTACTTAAATTTCTGGCCCTAAAGTATAAAAAATACTACTACCAGATACAACATTTCAAACCGATAATTAAACTTAAAATGGCAATAACCATTTTGAAGTTATTAAATATAAATGATAAAATATACGGCCAAAGGTAATGTAAAGAGCAAAAACAAAATGGAATGACTATAATCATGAAATTAAGTGATACGGAAAAGTTCTTCATTTTAAATCTAACTTTGAATAGAAAAATATAATATACAAGGAACAATGCGGGTACTGTTTCACGTGTGATGAGATTAGAATACACCGAGAGAGAAAAATTGAAACCTGACTCTATAAACAAAATTACTGTCCCTAAAATATCTGGGGTAATAATGATTACGATAAATAAAAGTACAATTGATAATAGGAATATGACCAAATTACTTGGCAAGTACTCTAATAGATAAAAGTAGACACAAATGAAGAGGAACAACATAAAAATAAAAGCAACAAAATCAACGTAAGGAAAGATCAAACTACAGCAAACTAAATCCATGGAATACATCAACTTGCTTAAAATATTTCTGCCGTTCCGATCTGAAAAGAAAATGAATAATGAGAAAAACTTGTGTATAATTTGGCCTCGTGCAATCACGGTTTGACAGTATAATTTTTGTCTATGAAGATACTGACAGTTACTACTCAATCTAAATAAAAATGGAAGTAATTTGGTATGACAAATGTGAGGATTTTTACATGCAAATTCTTATCTGCGGAATCCACTATTTCGAAAGGAACGCAGACAAACATAAATGTGTCTTTTTGTTGTTGGGATGTACAAGTACCTGTCCACGTCTACTCTGTGCATTTGTTAGATGTATTTCTATTTGTATCCATCTGATGAGTTAAGCCTTTTTCAACTGATTTTTATAGTGTGTTCTTATGTTGTACTGTTACACCACTGTCCCAGGTTAGGGGAGGGTTGGGCGCCTGCTAACATTTTAACACCGCCACATTCTGTATGTGCCTGTCCCAAGTCAGGAGCCTGTAATTCAGCGGTTGTAGTTTGTTGCTGTGTTACATATTTGTTTTTCGTTCATTATTTTGTACGTAAATTAGGCCGTTAGTTTTCTTGTTTGAAGTGTTTTACATTAATTTTGTCATTTCGGGGCTTTTTAAAGCTGACTATGCGGTTTGGGCTTTGCTCATTGTTGAAGGCCGTACGGTGACTTATAGTTGTTAATTTCTGTGTCATTTGGTCTCTTGTGGAGAGTTGTCTCATTGGCAATCTTACCACTTCTTCTTTTTTAAATATAATTTGATTTTTTTTATAAAAGACGATATGAAAAAGCATTGGGCGAGGGACTTACGTCTAATTTATCAATAACAAAACGCATACTTTTTTTTCATCTCAGGCACTTGCCTTTATAACTCTATACCTCTTTACCAGTATAAAAGTGTTCTATACTACTACTATGAAATATACTACTAAAAAAATGTACACTAATACAACTTCTGACTGAAAATAAAGTAAAACAAAATCTCAATTTAACTTTCAAGTTGATTTTTTTTCTTTACCTTCAATCATTTGTATATTCAAAAGGGCGTCAGTTGTGGCGGTCAAATTTCAAACAGCTACAGTGTTCACAACTTTGAGGAAAGGGGTCAAAATGAAAGCCACAATTCTAACATTTTTTTCCACATGGTCTAGTTAAAAAAATGCATACAACGCACAACATTGACGAAGTGTTGAATCTGATGGCATAATTGAGTACCTATGAACAGAATCTATCATGTCATTTGAAATAAAAATGAACAAAAATTTGGAGAGGCATATTTATAACCCGCAACATCCTTTAAAAAATAAAGGTTGATAATTTCAGATCATTTAATCATTTTCTACAAAGATATGAGCTCTCAAAGTTTGACCTCCATTAATCTCGTTGGAAGTGTGCACAACTTTATTTGAGGAGTATATTAATGTAATAGATATAAAACATACTTCCCATAGATGTATAAGGTTTACATGTATTAAGGCAACTACACTACTCATCAATCTTACCAATTGAAATATAACACGAGGAGATGCGGTATGATTGGCAATGCTACAACGGCCTAATTTATAGTACAACAATGAACGAATGACTGACAACAACGTTGGACAATCATTGGATTACAAGTTCCCGAATAAGGACAGTGACATTAAGAATATGATGGGTTTAATATGTTTGTGGGCGCTCAATCCTTCTCCTAACCTGGTACAGTAGTATAACAATACAACATAAGATCTTAACAAACTGTTGAAATCAATTGGAAAGGAAAATCTCATCCAATTGATACAAAGCATTAAAGATAACAAGACATCGAAAAAAGACTTAAAAACTCGATCTGTTACTCGCAATTACTGAAAGCTAGTTTAATGCTCAATTTCAACCAATAGATACACCATCTTTCCCAATGTCGAAATCGAGACCTGAACACCTCCGATGTCCGATGGATTTGGTGTAAAACTTTCATAATTAACTTTAGAAATATATATGTATGTGAATGACAACATGTGATACCGAGAGTATGCAGGACCATAAGTGTCAACACCTGGATATAATTCATGTTAGCTATGTAATAAAAAACCAAACAAAAATTCAATGCTAGGACTGAAAAAAAAGCATTTAAAAATCTTACTACAATTCACAGAATGATTATTTTCAATGGAACAGTAACTTTTTGTAAATAGTATCTCAACCCACGATATCTGTGAATTACATTACCACATCTCTACGTTCAGGCAAACTTCCAAATCAAATCTATGAATCTATGAAAGATCCAAGTAAAAGTTTTAAGTAATTTGTGGTAAAGAAATCACTGATTTGATATTTGTTTGTTCGAGCATTACTCTGGAATCAAAAGTTTCTATTATCGCATTGTTTTAAGGTCTTGAACTAGTCAATTATATTGAATGATGAGTTTCAGACATTGATCTGGTTGGACCAGGATATAAACAGAAATTGATTAAATACGGTATGTTGTTTGGCTTGGCTGTCCTTGGTTCCTGAAATAACGAGATTCATGTTCCAGTCAAACTAAAACAGTGGGAACCAGTTTGTGTATTTTTTTTTATCTCGAAGGTCGGAATGTGTGACGACGTTAACTTGATTAATTGAAGTTAGTTCTATTAAGAAGGACTAGTGAAAAGTTCTTTATATTTTAAGTTATTAGTCACGTCTAAATTAGAAGTGTGTGAATTTAGTATTTAAAAGAAACTCGTTGTCTCATTGACAATCGTGCCACATCAACTTATTTTTATATTTATAGCACTAAGGCCAAACACTTTCATTTTACTTGGTTAATTTATTATGTTTTTTTTTACCCACTTGAAATTCTCGATCTGGTCTTATCCCGTAAATTGGAGTTCGAATATGAAAATGTATTAACATTCACGGTTTAAATTTCGTACAGAGATACCGCCATGTTTGTCTTTTATTGTCTTTGCCTACTTAATATGAAACAGTTTTATAGATCTTAGTTGTTTGTTACATGAGCGAATACATTGCTTGGCGCAATCGTCACCGCTTGACATTGGTTGAAATCTGAAACCTGTCATTTGTTGAATTGTATGGTTCTGATGGTTATATATATTTGTTATTTCCTTACAAGCCCCTTTCACATGACAAGTATTTTGTCTTTCCATGCTCGTCGATCAAAACAATCTTTTACTTATGTGCCAATTTGGCATTTTTGTTATACAATTTAGTTGGTTACGTATTTTTTAATTCTTTTAAACACCAACATCAATTCACTACGAGTTGTTAATAAAATTATGTATTGTTCAATCAATGTAAATAATCAAAACAAACTTTTGCACGGATGAGTACATGCGATCAGCTAACATATTTCAGATGGTAATTAAAGAAAGGTTCCGATATAAGTATTCCTTAATTGATTAAAGACTTATGTAATTTTATGCATAATACTGAAGAGTCTAAGGGAAGTCTTAGTGAAATCTAAGTTAAAGTAACACTTAAGTTAAGATGTTTTATATTAATTAAAATTTGTTCTTTTAAGAAGGACTAGTCAAAAGTTCTTTATATTTTGAGTTATTTGTCACGCTTTAAGTATTAGTATGTGAATTTAGTATTTAAAACAAACTCGCTGTCTCATTGACAAGTGTGCCACTATGAAAATGTATTAACATTCACGGTTTAAATTTCGTACAGAGTTACCGCCATTTTTGTGTTTTATTGTGTTTGTCTATTAAATATGAAACTGTCTTATAGATCTTAGTTATTAGTAACATGAGCGAATACATTTCTCAGTTTACCGATGTTAAATGCTCGTAAATCCATAAGGAATAGACAAATCAAGGTAACAAAGAAAACTGACAGAATCGCATGAAATCTAAACGGATTGGGATCGGTGCTTCGACAGGGTAAGAGTCTCCTGCGATGCATTCATCACCCGCCATGCAAATTCACACTAAGTCAAAATATCACATTCAAGAATAGCACACTATCGTTAGAATCACAGATGATATAATTTTACTGGTATCTAGAGACCTAAGACCACGAAACCATGTCACTAGTTAAATGAGACACACACACGTCGTATCAGTCAACCACTCATGGCCGTATAATTGCATTGTGAGTTTAAGCCGTTTAAGAAACAAAACAAATATTTTGAAGTAGCAGATATCTTCTGTGGAAAAAATAGTGACTCTGATATGTGCAGGGTCTTTTTTTTTATATTATATAGGATAGTTTTTGTTTGTTGTATTGCTCATGAATTCTTATATTACTGTTTTTCGAATGACAGAAAAAGGCCCGTTTTTTTAATTGAGATTGATAATAAATAAAACAAACTGTGTTCAAGGATTCTGTGACAAGCATAATACTTTAATTTGTTTTGGTCAATTTGCTGACTGCTTAGGACATAAAATCAGACTAACAAACAAAAAATTCATACTTACTCATTTCATTTATTTTCTTTGTTTGTTGTTCCAATGCATCATGCATATTAACAATTGTCTGAAATAAAAGTATATTTTTAGAAGTCAATAAACTCATACAAGATTTCTGGGCCCGTTTGCATAATAAGTTAAGATTTTCCTTAGTAAACAATTTAGTTCAAGAAACTCCTTGTATAAGGTTCCTATAGAGCTACTCTAACTTTTCAAAAAAGACGAAAATCATTCGAAAGTAAACGGGTTAGCAGAAAATGGATAGATAACCTACCATTAAATTAATTAATAATCATATCTGAAATATTTCGTTTGTTTATTGCTTAATCTTAATGACCATTTTATTAATTTTTCTAAAATCACGTATAATCAACAAAATCAAAATAACAGAAGGTAGGTGTATAATTTCATTATCCTTATGGCTCAATCTCGCGATTGAGTATTCCGAAAAGTTCTCACAATTCATGCTATATTTCTTCTTTTAATTCGTCTGTTCGTGCATGCATTTATGAATAACATCAAACGTTCTATTGTTAGAATACACATCCTGGTATGGATTGTACGTACAAAAAGTTTGAAGGAAGCGATGAAGATCTTCAGGCATGCAAAATCATACTTTCTGGGAAGGGTACCTCAAATTTTCAATTAGATAGTTGTATTCTTAAGATGTATGCAAATCTCCCCTGAGTTTGATTCACCAACTGGAACAAAATCATAAAGGTTTTAAGACTTACTGAAATTCGTTAAAAGTCTTTTTAACGTACTCATGAGACTTAAACCGTATTCAATTAGTTTTCATATTTTCTGAAATATTCATGGCTATATTGCTGTGAACGAAAATAATGCCAAGTTTCAAATTTGGATAAAAGTATGATTTTACCAAATAAGAATATGTTGTTTCTGAACGACAATACATGTACATAAATTACTTCCAATAATATTTTGGTTTTTGGTTAAAAAAGTTCTACTCGATAATTTTTGGATAATTGCACTATTTTTTTTTTTAAATCTAGCAAGATTTCAGTTTTGACTTATGTTTAGGCATTTGAGACTTTCGAATAAATATTCAGAAATACTTTGTAAACACCTGACTGTAAACATATGAATCTGTTACTGTGTTTTTGAGTAAAGAGGGAATTTTGAAAATGTTCAAAAAATTTATTTACACTCGAAATTTATTTCAAAAGATTGATTAAAAAATCTTGATCCTGCATTTAATGTTTGTGTTAAAAGATATATGGTTATCTCCATCTAGGAACCCTCGCGAAAGACGAGTGACTGACGATTTAGAATCATATTTAAAATTAAAACTTTATTAACAATTTAAAATTAAGACTTTATTAACATACACCTTATAAAGCTGAATGATTTGCCACAAGTAATGTTGAGTACACATTTAGCGATTGAAGCTTCGTTTTCTATAATAAAAAATGCTAGAGAATAATTTTGTAATCTCTTGATAATTTATATTTATAACTCCATGCATAAATTGTCCCTCTTCTTTTGGATCCTTTTAAGAATATCTCCTCAAAGAATTGTCTGTACTCATTATATTGTTATTCTTTATATTTGTTATTTCTTTCCAAGCCCCTTTCACATTACAAATATTTTTTTCTTCCCATGCTCGGCCATCAAACAATCTTTTTTCCTTGTGTCAATATGGCATTTTATTTGTACAATTTAGTTGGTACGTATCTTTCAATTCTTTTAACATGCTCAAACACCAACCTCAATTCACCAGTAGTTTTTTAACAAAAGTATGTATTGTCAATCAATGTAAATGATCAAAATCAGTGACGCTCGAATAAAAAATAGTTAAAAGGCCAAATACAGTATGAAGTTAAGGAACATTGAGGGCCTAAAATTCCGAAAAGTTTTGCCAAATACAGATCATGTAATCAAATGCACTGATCTTTAACTATGAAGACTGCCGGTCAACACTGTCTGTAGATGGACATACTGTACATTCCATATTTATAAATACCATGCACAAACCAAACGTAGACATTAACTTTGAAAAGATTCATTTTAAAGAGGTACTAGTGCAATAATAAATTCATTATGGAAACAATACAGACGAGTACCTAAATGACATTGAAATTCTGTTAAACGCTAAATTTTGAAACTTTTATGTGTTCACTTCATATCTTGATTTTCAAGTCACGAAACAGGGAATTTCAATTACCACATGTTTAAATATTGAAGTAACTGTTAAATACTATCCTCCTTAAAACAAAATACCTCCTTTGTTTTCTTCTCACGACGCATCTCATCTAAAAGTGTAATTTGATATTGGGTGCTTATAGTTTCATCCAGTGGTCTGACTGTCGCATCATTAAGTTTTTGCCTTATCATCTGTTCTTTGTTGCATTGTTTGGCAATTGAAAGTATAACGCTTTCTATCTGTATTTTGTAACCAGAATAATCTGTATCACACATTTTTGCCTCTTGTGAATGACCATACAGAATGTTCCTGTACTTAATTAGATCATCAACGTCTTTTCTGACAGCACCGGTACAAGATGGGGCAAAGTTAATTAACAAACATCTCAAAAGTGTTAGGTCCAGACATGATGTTGTTAAAGATTGTTTAGCAGCACTACAACAGAACTGTGACCTGCTGTTCAAATTATGACCTGTCATTGTCGGTCCAGTTTTATCAAATAAAATATCTAGTTGGCATGGATACAGTACTCTTTGTGAAGTAGTATTTCTTGCGAATGCTCCTCCAGTACACTGACAACACGAATGTTTGTTATAACAAAGATGATAAATTGCATGCTGGTTTATGTTAATAAAATCTATTAAAGTCAGGTTTCGCTTAGATAAATCATCCTCTAGTAATAACAAGAGTACTTCCTTCCCATGCTCAACGATGATGGTTGATGTTCTGTAAAAGTTTTCTCGTTGTTTTTGTGTCATAATTTTACGAAAGGGAATACAGTTATGGTGTTATATTGTTCTGTTGAAATCAAGTGGTGCAATCTTGATGTAGTCTTTCTTAATGTTATTTTGAACTTGCTGCATTTGTTTCACACTTTCCTTTTCTCCAGATTATTTGAGAGGCACAAGTCAGTGTACAAGGACCCTTTCACTGGTATACCGGAAATACACCATTTTACCTGAAATCATTATATAATATATTCAAACTAAAATGAAACTATATATATACACATTTCTAAACACTAGTGATATTTATACATATACCTATATTTATAACAAATTCAAATTCTAATCAAATGAAACTTTCGCTTATAACATATAGCAATGACTTTCATTAAAAGTGCCAATTTTGGTAAATATAATTCGTTTGTAGATATATATATATAACACAGATACTTTGAAATATTCAAAAACCTTTATCGACACTTTTACCTGTCATCTTTACGTCATAGATATAGTGTACAAAAGTGACGATAGTGTGTGCAAATAGTGTGAGCAAAATCGATACTAGCTATACCACGGTTCACTTAGCATGATATGGAAATCAATACTACAGAACTAAATACTCTGGTATTTAATTTAAAAGGTATAATTAGAATGGATGGATAACATTTCCAATTAGAATTTAAAAAAAATGTTTGATGGATAAACGCACGTTATGGCAATATAAACCACATGCACAGAATTAACACGAATGAGTAAATGCAAAGTAATTTTGCTGTGTAAGTGTATATTATTCTTTTACAAAGTGATGTTTGAAAAAGGCGAAGTTGCTATACAAAGTCTATAATTTTGTTTTACCTTTGAACCCAAAACTGTCTGTATACGCCTATGAGAGACAGTATAGGTTATTTTCAATATCCCAACCAATTTTTTGGTTTAATTATGATTCTTCGATCATAATTTCAGGAAATCATCGTAAAAATGTCTCATTTTCTCCCTACCCAATTTACCCTTACCATTTATTTTGATATTTACTGATCATTGTTAATGAATTTGGGTGAGATAGTGATTTCGGTCTTACTTTGAGCCGACGGAAAAATAGCCTTGCCAAAGACAGTATATAAATTGATATTTAGCTCAACAGCATGCACAAAATAGTTATGTAGTCGCGCAAAAAAAGAATAAGCCAAATAAGTAATAGGTTCAAAAAAATATTACGTCCACATTAAAGTCCAGCCCTGCTCCTCTTCTCCTGTCGGTAATCAAATGGTCCTCACTAGCTGTGCATTTAAAAAAAAAAACTCATTGATTAATGATGATAGAACCTATCATTATGTTTTTTTATAGTTACTTTGTAAAAATTTAACTTTATTGTTAGTTCCTAATCTTAAAATTTTTAGAATAAAGTCCTATCTAATATAGGCACCAACATGCTTCCTTAAATAAAGGCAACAGTAGTATACCGCTGTTCGAAATTCATAAATCGATAAAGATCAAAACAAATCCGGGTTACAAACTAAAACTGAGGGAAACGCATAAAATATAAGAGGAGAACAACGACACAACAAAAACAAAACATTAAAAATATAACACACACAGAAACGAACTATAATATAACAATTGCCATTTTCCTGACTTGGTACAGGACATTTTAAGAAAAAATGGTGGGTTGAACCTGGTTTTGTGGCATGCCAAACCTCCCGCTTTAATGGCAAAGTCAAACACAACACCAAAACGACAACATCACATGACAGGACCACAATACAAATAAATGGGAGAACATATAGGACAAAGAAAAACACGAATAATAGCTAACAAAAGGTACTAGGCTTAAAATTCAATACGCCAGACAAACACCTGTACAGTGATTAAATTTAACTTCGAACTGAACACTGAACGAGTTCATGTTAATTCTATCAATGAAACAAAAGGAAATTGAGAAACTTTACAGAAAATGCGTTTTCATCCGTTAAGCGTTTACCTCTGTGAAGAGAGTCACTGATATAATTTACGCACGTCTAGGCAGAATAAATGAAAACAGTAACACTTTATAAATGCGCATGTTTGGATTTACCTTCATCGGGAACGTTCCAGCCCAAAAATTGAAAACCTGGGATGATAAATGCTTAAACACTGTGGGTCCTATATGAACAAAAGAGGCAGAAAAGATTAGCCAAATCTTTCTACAGTCAACTTAATCCACCAATTTTCTACGTAATGAAATGCATGTACCAAGTCATGAATATGACAGTTTTTTTCCATTCGTTTGATGTGTTTGAGCTTTTGATTTTGCCATTTGATTAGGGACTTTCCGTCTCAAATTTTCCTTGGAGGGAGTTGGAACCTTAGTTTCTTAAAGAGTTTCAGAATTTATCAATTGCTAAATGTCTTAACAGAAGTATTTCCAGCCTTTTTCAATAATGACGTAAATGAAGTCAATACCTTTAAATGCTCGATCTTGTTATTTTGAACATGAATCTAAATTGATTATTTGAACGATTGATTCGTCTTCATCACAAAATCTTGACAGGTATTGATTTTCAGCATATTTGACAGTATCTCTAAGACGATCACAACTGAATTCAGGCGGGGGTTTGTGTTGCTTAGTCTTTATTTTTCGATATTGTGTATTGTGTACTGTTTTGTTTTTGGTCTTTCCCTTTTTGCCATGGCGTTGTCAGATTATTTTCGACTTATAGATTTGAATGCCCCTATGAAATCTTTCGTCTCTCTTGAGTGTAACTCTGGTTAAGCATCACATAATTGCAGAAAATCAAGAGTTTAAAAACCGTCAATTTATCAGCAAAATCATCAATTAAAAAATGCCAGTAACTACTAAGATATGTGTAATAGCTTCAAATGGCATTCTGCAAACATCGTAGCTTACTAGGTATTTTCGTCTTTTGAGTTTAAATGTCCCTTTGGTATCCCTCGCCTATCCTTTAATACTCCAACCGTGTTCTCAGCATCGACATAGGTCGTAAATCTAATTTGTCGAAATCTTTTCACTCACTTAACAGTTCTAATGGACAGTATTGCACATGGATATATGACTGGATTGAATATTTGTCTAATGCCTAGCGAGAATTTAATGCGTATTCAGTACCCAGACTTTGAATGCCGGTAAAATGTAACTCACTCAAAGAATTCTTTTTGATAAACCTTCATCAAGAGCCATTAGCATTAAAATCAAGGGAAGATAAAGAAATGTAAAACACGTGTCAATCTGAAAAAAACAGAAAAAAAAATATCCAAGGGGCATTCTTAAAAACATTTCTGCTTTGATAACAGTTGTATCAAAATCAAATGACTATGGTAGAGAGTTGACTTATTGACAAACATTTTACATCTCATGATCTTTTTACATTGCTATATGGTACGCAAAAGTATCAATTAGACAGCACGATCTTTCCTCAGGAGTACATTTGAGGGTACAAGCTTGAACTTTCGGTATTGTTCATGTGAATGTTTTGTAACAGTTCCAATTTGTTTTCGACTTTCCATTTTTTTTTTATTTGTGTGTTTTTTTTTTGAAGTTTTTAGAACAAAACAAAAACAGAAGGCATAATGAGACCCCTCGTAATAATGTCTTCAGTCTTGATTTTGTCGAAATAAACAATTAGTTACAAAATAGAAATTATGAAAGATTAAATGAGAATAAAACAATTTAAATCTAAAAACCTTAAGACGAATATTTATTGATGTCTATCATCGGACTTAACTTAATATTGGATATCCACAAGATGTAATTATGTCAACGTCTGAAATCACTGGAACCCACCTCCAAACTTGCTGGAATAACACGACGTTATGAATTCAGTTATGTGTTTGCATCCATAATGAGGTTGTTTATTATGCTACAAATGTTTTCTAGTTGGGTATGGTCTCTGAGTTGTTGGGTTGCTGTCTTATTGACACTTACAAGGCACCCAATTCTTATTTTATTTTGAAAAAAGACACGTTTCTCGTTTCTCGCTTTTTATATAGATTAGACTGTTGGTTTTTCCCGTTTGAATGGTTTTACACTAGTAATTGTTGGGGCCCTTTATAGCTTGCTGTTCGGTGTGAGCCAAGGCTCCGTGTTGAAGACCGTACTTTGAGCTATAATGGTTTACTTTTATAATTTTGACTTGGGTGGAGAGTTGTCTCATTGGCACTCATACCACATCTTCTTATATCTAACAACTAATATTTGGACTTGCATGTAGGAAAGAAAACCTAAAATACACTGATACTTTTGTCATTATATATAAGGTTATAAACACAATAGGATCCTTCTTCAATATTGTTATGTGATAAGTTTTGTTTTAAGTTTACATACGACGTCCAGTTGGACGGCAAACGATTTAATGGCTTCTAAGGTCAAGACATTGGTCACGTGACAAAAGGTCAGAGTTTACGGTTTTTTGGTAAACGTACATGCCTCGTGGTTTTTTGACTCGTATCGTCTTTTTTTTACTCATACATTAATAAAACTCAAAAGTGTTCAAATCTTGAGTGTTTAAGCTTTATTATTCTTTATATCTATTACTAAAAAGTGTTGTTAAAGTATACTAAATTGACAAGTGAAGTGAGACTTTTTTTCTGAAAATTTACGTAGGTCCACGGAAAATCCCTAATTATTCCTTAAATATGTATGGTAATGTGTGGAGGGGTATAAAATATGAAGTAAAACCTTTTTTCAGATTACATTTTAGTTATAATCGACCTTAAATTTACCGGACACGCAATTGTATCAGCTTATTTGTGGCGAAGTGGAGATCAAAGGGAGATAACTCCGTACACGCATTGTAGGAAATTGCAAGTTCACAACAGTAAATTCGAGTAAAATTAATGTTTGTAGTTATATTTCGACACTTTCTTGTATAAGTATTCCATATTTCATGTTCCTTTACTTTTGTAACATTAAAATAGTCATGGAACGGTTGAATATGGCATTTTTTCAAGAAAATAACAGGTTTTTGAAAACTTCCAAAGAAGAAAATTATACATAAATAACTTTCCTCTGAAACTTGGAACTTATTTATAAATTGCTATTTATTCTTAATCACCCTTTTGATGGATGGAATGATACATGTCAAGTCTTTGTTTTACTTTCTTTGTATCAATATTCTTAGAAAGCATATGAAAATAAACTCAGTGTTTGTACATGTAGGTTGTTAGAACAGTTTTTGTAATACTAATTTCACTGTAAATTAGACTTCAATTAGATTAATTTATATATATATATATATATATATATATATATATAATAAAAAGTATCTAAAATAGAAAGTTTTTACTCTGGTGCACTGAAAATGTTGCATCAGTAATGAGATTTAACAAAGTTATTTAGACTGAAGAACTTATAGATTTATTGTCACTTTGTTTATGTTGATCATATGGGAAAAAGAGTGATATTATACATTCTAACACAGCTTCAATTGTGAAACAGTAGTTCTCTCCTCTAGACATTTTGGTTTTCAAGATGCGAGGCTTGCCGATCAATATACATATTTATCATTTCACTGTTAAGA